CTGGAAGGGAGGGACCATTTGGGAGCCCCAAACGGAAGCCTCCTCTCCCCGTCTCCACTCCCCAACTACTGACATTTCTAAGCGGCTTCATCTGGGGCCTCATTAGTACAAATATCTGGCGTAAGGCCCCCGAATGTTATAAGTCGCGGGGAGGCGGGGCCCGAATTTGTCCCGTCTGGGCAGGAAACTCGCGCCCTCCAGGAGAATTTGGAGACCGACTGGGGCCTGCACCCCATTGGTTCATTCCATCTCCCCTAAGAGCAATGGCCAGAACGGGTGCAAGTTTCCTGTTCCCCGAGGCTAGGTCCCAGGCTAGCTCTGGTGGGGGTGGGGGGGGTAGGGGAATCCCCAAAACCACAGTCTCCATGCTCGTGAAGCGGCACCAGCAGGCTGGCACTATGGGACCTCTGCTGTCCCGTCCAACTCTCCCAAGGATTCCAGGGGCTCGGACTTCGGGGCTCATTTTGGGATAGGACAGGCGGCAGCCACTCCTCTCTCAGCTGCTTCCCCCCCCCAAGTCCACATCTGGATCCTGTTCCGCCCTGGCCAGCCCCGGCTCTTCCTCCCCTAACCCCGCCCCCTGCTAGGCTCTGAAGTTGAAGGGGCGGCCGTCTGAGGAACTGGGGGTCCTGCCCCGCCTCACCCCGCAACCTCCAGCCCAGCCAGGGTCAGGGCCAAGAACAAATCCGGCCCTGCCAGGGGCAGGCTCACCCCACACAGTGCCAGGCCCCCCGGTAACCTGTCCGAGGGACCGCCCCGACCCCGCCCTTCCCTGGGGCGGGCCGCCCAGGCCCCTGCCCCTCCTTCGGGCGTCTAGTCTGGTGCTGGAGTCCTAAAGCGGCAGGCAGGCTGGCCGGCAAGCAGGCGGGGGCCGGGGCTGCAGCCGCGCCTGGCAGATGGACCCACGGAGCCACAGACCCGGCGCCATGTCTCACGGCCCCGGCGTCATTCGCACCACATGCAGCAGCAGTGGTATCTTCGGAGTGGGCGCACCCCCACCGGGCCCGGCCCCAGTCCCGGGCCCCTCCGAGGGACTGGTGGCCCGCGGTTACCCCACTACCTACCCCGCATTGCTCAAGGTGGCGCAGATGGTAAGAGAGGAGAGGGCAGGAGGGGAGGGGGAAGGCACCACCCTGGGTGAGGCGAGAGGGGGCAGACACCATTGGAGCTTCTCCCGCCTCCCGGAGTGCCGGGGACCCACTCCTGGAGCACCTTGGAGCGTCCCCAGCCCGGCTGGGTTGGCACACCGACCCAGCGAAGAGGAATGGGGCTCCTTTGCGCACGGAGTCCTCGGGGGGAGCGACTTTCTGCGAGGGTTACTCTTCACCCTCGGATTTCCCTCTCTTTCTCCATCCCAACCCCTTTCTCGTTCCCAGCCTCCACTCTTTTGTCTTCACCTGGAATCCTTGGTGCAGCCAGCCGCCCACTCCTCCCACCTCTCCCCTCAGCCTGCTCAGCTCACCAGCCAGCCTGGGGGTGGACAGCCCAAACTCTAGATCCTCCCCCACCCCCATTTCCTCCTGATGTGAGTTATGGCGTCTCCACCCTCTCTGGGGGAAAGCATTATTTCACCTGGAGGGACTTGAAGGGAGAGGGCCTCTCCCTCCTCTCTGATGTCTACTCCATTCCTTCCAAAAAGAGTGTACTACGTTTTCATACTGTTCCCCGCACCCTGGGCCCTGTTCGAAGCTTTGCAGAAGTGTCTCAGTCATTCCGTCTTGGTAAAAATCTGCTGCCTCGGGGCGCCACAAGCCTTAGCGTCTCGTTTCCTCAGGCAGCAGCTTTGGGGCATTCTTATTCTGGTGGCCTCTGCTCCTGGTGCACCTTCAGCAAATGCCTAGGTCAGGTGACAGTTGAATGGGTGCCTCTTTGGCCCTGGGAGCCAAGGAGTGTGCTAGCTTAAGAGCACGACAGCATCTTGTGAAGGTGTTCACAGAAGTGTGAGATACTGATTAGGAGCAAGCAATTGTGAAAGTGTGAGGTGATTCAAGTTTCAGAATCAATGTTAATGCGTCGAATCTGCTGTTAAAACAAAAACGGACTGAATAGGGAAAGCTGAGTTAGGTTCAGAGAGACAAAACTCCTGAAAGGTGTTGTTCAGTCATTTCAGTCTCCATGACCCCATTTGGGGTTTTCTTGGCTGAGATACTGGAGTGGTTTGCCGTTTCCTTCTCCACCTTGTCTTACAGATGAGGAAACTGAGGTGAACAGGGTTCGAACAGGGTTAAGTGATTTGCCCAGGGTCACACCATTGCTAAGTTCTGAGGCTGGATTTGAACTCGGGTCTTCCTGACTCCAGGCCTAGTGCTCTATCCACTGTGTCACCTAACTGCTCTCCTGAAAGGTGTAATACCTTACATTTTTAGCTCTTACCTACTCAGCACAACTTTTCCAGGTTGAATAGTGCAAATTTCGTAGATTTTGACCTAAAAGAATTATGCCCATTTTGCTGAGGAAACTGAGGCTTGGAGCCATTAGTTAAATGACTTGCCTTGATCACACAGCTAGTATCAGAGCTGGACACTGAACCCAGGCCTTCTGACCCGACTACTTTTCCCATTATTTCTTAGGAGAGAGAGGGAGAGAGGGAGAGAGGGTGAGACTGCCTGAAGCTCCCAGGCATGGTAGGGAGAAGCCAGAAGGGTTTCTAGGATTAAAATGCAACATAAATGTGAGTTATTCATATTATTATTTATTCAAAATTCATTCAACAAGCATTCTCTTCTCCTCTTTAAATATACTTGTTTAGCAAGTGTGAATTGTCCTATAGGAGCCATCTCTCACACATGCCTTCTTCCTGATTAAATGCAAGCTCTGTGAGAGGAAGGACTCTTTCATTTTTTTGTATTTGTATCCCCAGTACCAGCACAGTGCTTGGCAAGTGTTAGGTGCTTAATAAATGCTGGTTAATTGTTGATTGAATGATTTGTCCTATGCTACTCTTTCACTTGGCCTTTCTAAACCTCCCTTTCTGTCTGGTTCCTCTGCATTCCCCCCCTTTTCCCCCCCCCACCCCTTTCAGGTCCATCTACTTGAGCTCACTTTTGAGGTTTAAATAAGAACTTCCAAGGACACTTCTCTTTTGAGATGATGGTTCAGTCTTGCCTTTTGAAAGTGCACCTTGACCTTTTTTTGGCTATTGGAGTGGTAGGAACAAATGACTGAGTAGGATGAGAGGGGAAGGGATTGGAGGTGGTGAGAGGCAGAGACTGAATAACTTCAGTCAACTTGTGACTAAGACTCAAGTATTGGAGTAGAGCGAGCCAGCTGTCTGTTTATTCCACTGTCACTCTGAGCCCTCTATGTGCTAAAGATGCTAAAGGGACATTTGGGTCAGAATATCTTAAAGGGATTACAGAGAGAGAAGCCGCATGTCCCTGTTGCAAATACTGTCACTCACAGCTGATCATCTGTTTTGATGAGCTGAGTTTTTTCCTTCTTTCTTTTTTTTTTGTTTCTTGTTACAAGAGGATGGCTCCCTGGTCTGGGAAGGGTGGAGAGTAGGTTCTGGAAGTGAGGACAAAAACAAACGATATCAATAAAATTCTTTAAAAAAATTTTTAAAAGAAAGCTAACTAGAAATCATGTCTACAACTACATTGTCAAAAGTTAAAAATATAAAAATTATTACTTACTCTTGAAGTAAGACAACCCTAATAGGAGGAGACATATACAAAGCAGCATAGCTTTCTTTCAAAACTGATATTCAGGGGCAGCTAGGTGGCTCAGTGGATGGAGCACCAGCCCTGGATTCAGGAGGACCAGAGTTCAAATCCAGCCTCAGACGCATAACACTTACTAGCTGTGTGACTCTGGGCAAGTTACTTAACTCCCTTGCCTAGCCCCCCCCCCAAAAAATAATGAAATAAAATAAAATAAAAACTGATATTGAACACAGTGGGTAGCTGGTGCAAGGGAAAGAGTACCAGAAATGACCTTGGACAAATAATGACTCCCTGGGTCTTAGTTTCCCCCATCTGTGAAGTGAAGAGTTTGTATCAGCTACTCTAAGATCCTTTCCAGTCCTAAATCTGTGTTCAAAAAAATTTGGGGATGGAGACGAATATGTTTTTCTTGGCAAAGCCTGTGTAACTTTTAGAGTATAGAGCAGAGTATAGAGCAGGTCAAGTGAAGCCCTTTGACTGAGTCCAAGTTTTACAGAACCAATCCTTTTATTAAAGAGATTTGTCCTGTGAAGTTTGGATTCAGTCAGAGGGTCTCACTTGAGGACCTAGAGGGCCACATGTGGCCTCGAGGCAGAAGGTTCCCCACACCTGCTATAGAGTATAGAGTATAGGCTTTGGGATGAATTAGTGGAACGTGGAGAAACACCTTCTCCCTGAAAACATTGGCCTCAGTGAATCAGGCAAGCACCGTTCCTCAAATGAGCTCTAAAGAACAGTGTGGAGATTGGTTGAACTGGTAGGAAATGATCCATCCTCTTCCCCCCACCCAAATCCAGACTATCTCATGCTCAATTGCTCTCTGTGACCGTTTGCAGGTGGCAAAGAAAGGCCTCGTTGCTCAGAAGACAGAGAATAGAACTTCCTAAGACTGGTGGAGTAGCTTTCACTTGGGATCTTCTCCTCTGGGTTTCCTTCTTCATAACACCCAGAGTAGACCCACAGGATTTCTGCCCCCCCCCAAAAAAGCTGCAGGTTTGGGCAGAAGCTATGAATGAAGTTCCCTGACTCAGGGGAATATCGAGGATTTTGACAGTCGAGTTTTCATGATTTAGGGACTGGTTAGCCCAGACATTGTAAGAACTAGGTCAGCTTTGTTGCTAGGGACTAGTGATTGCTTTATTCTTTGGATCTGTAGCCCCTCCACCTCAAATAGTACAGGGCACAGACTCAGCCAGTAAGTACTTAATAAATGCTGATTGATTGACTGTTCAGGACTTTGGCAAGAAGGTTTGGGAGGGGGGAGAAAAGAATGGCTCCCCTGAAGTCCTCAGCAATGGCAGTCATTCACACAATCCACTTGGGTCCATTTTACTACCACCACCCCAATCATTTGCTGGGATCTTCAAACCAAATCTGATGGGGGCCAAGTTTCCCACCGTTAAAGCGATGTTACTCTTCTCGCAACAAGCTCTTATTAAGCACCTACTATGTGCTAGGCACTGGGGTACAAAGACAAAAATAAGTCACCCATCCTCAAGGAAGACAAGGTAGGTAACAATATGTACACGGAAATTAAATATGAAATCTATCGAGTAATTTCTGGGAAAGGCACTAGCAACTAGAAGGGTCAGGATAGATGTCGTGTAGGATGTATTACTTCACCTGAACCTTGAAAGGAGCTAAGAGTACTATGAGTTGAATCTGAGGAGACAGTGCATTCCAGGCCAGTGGGACAGCCTTTTCAGAGGCATGCCAATGGGAAATAGAATCTGGTCTGTGAGGAACAGGAAGCAAACCAACCATATCCTTGCAATTCTCACAGTGTCAGAGAAGGCTGAAAAAGCTGCCTTTAAGACTAGTGCTGCTGTAGTGGTGGGGAAGCCCCAAGATTGAGAGCTCCCTGTGAATTCTCTCTCCTACCCCTCCTCCCTCATTTAATACACATTTACCAGTGGGTAACAAAATGGTGCCCAAATGCTTCACCTTTTGCAAAGTCTGTCAGACTCAAACTTAAATCCAGTAGAATGTGAGCTCCTTGAGGGCAGGGAACATATGTTTTTATCTTTCTTATCACCAGCCCATAACAATGTTGGGCACGTAGTACGTATTTAATAGTAAACAACTAATACACACTCAAAGATCAGTAAATGCTTGTCCAACAAAATTTTAGGGGAAAAAAACTTTTTAAAAAAATCGTGAGAAAGTGTTAGAGGCCTGGATTGGGCAATCACTTGGGGTTTTTCCAGCTCTGAAATTTGACATTGAGCAGTAGATAACATTCTACTATATGTTCAACTCTCCCTATCAGAATGGAAGCCCTTTGAGGGAAATGGATCCCTCTCTCGTCTTTGAATCCCCCAACCTGGTACAAAGTGAGAACTAAATAATCTTTTCTCCCCATTCATTCATCTTTGTTGTCAAGACCTGTCAGTTAACCTCCCTATACTCTAATTTCCTCCTTCGTA